GCTACATGCATCAACCACAACAGTTTATCTGAATTCTTCCCCCCCCCCCCCCAAAAAAAAAAACAACAACAACAACAACAACAACAACAAAAAAATAATAATAATAATAATAATAATTTAAAAAAATCATATTTTTGATTAGTACTTTTCTCTTTGCTAGACTGTGTTCGTTGACATTTTGAAGAATTATGCACCAGTACATTTTACAAACATTTTGTTGAATATATGCAAGAGTTCATCATGAATGATCGCTCAATGAACCAATACATGTAAGTGGCATTGTATTTTGTATGGACCATTGGTTGAATGATACGTAATATTATGTCACACCAGAGATTTTGACATGTCCTGCTTTAAACAGGTGACGCACTTTATACATACATGTAACCAACACACACACAGCATTGCAGACACATAAAATAGCGAAATCAACGAACATCTCAGAATAAATTTCCAGTTTGAACCTTAAATATGATGAAAATGAGAATTGTTCAAACTTAAAAAATTGTTTTTTTTTAACTTAAACTTAAGTGAAATACTGAAATGAAAAAATCACAAAGAGGGTTTAACTGAAATATCATAATTTTGGTATAGAAAAAAACTGAAAATTGCAAGCTTGCTCCTCGCACAAATATCTTAGAGCATTGAGTGAATGGAGAACAGCAATAGCCAATCTGAAGGGCCCATGTGGCCTGGGCTAGGCTAGGCGCCAACTTACGAAAATGAGGCTGAGATCGGATCTGCACATGCGCTAATTGTAAGCTAAACTAGATCTAGATCTAGTCTAGTTCTACGTGCCGAGCTAGCAGTAGAAAGCTGTAGAAACACTGTCAACAGAATCTTGATTTCAAAAGATACACACAAAATAGGGCCTAGAATGTAAGATCTAGTAGTACTAACTCCAGGAAGCTCCGAAGCCTATGGCGTCGGCGTTGGAGCTTCCTGGAGTACTACATGTACATGTACATGTAGTACTACTTGTACTAGACCCTAGACTAGATCTAGACCTAGCCTACATCATTAACTAGGTATGTTACAAAAAAATTAAATCTCAGAATTCAAGCTAATTCAAGCTCTTGCTTTACATCTACTAGCTTCTACTTCTACGTCGGTACTTGACAGGATCCATCAGTCAGGATATAACGTCAAGGTTGAAATGTCTGGCAAGGTGCTCTTGGTCATTGCAGTCAGTTGGTGTACTATTATGTGCAGAGTGCAAGTAACAAAAATTCTCAGTCATCAATGGCGTTTCAAGAATATGGAATATGGAAGGTTTCTGCTGATTGCAGAAACCAAGATATCTAGAGGAAGCATGTACCATGCAGCAACTGTCCGTGGGAAATAAGAGTGTTTGTAAAGCTCAGTACGGGCAGTGATTAGCTTGAATTTATTTGGGTGGAATTGCCTGGTGTTGCTCCGGGTCAAAGGTGTGACAAACTGATCTGGATTTATTGACTACAGAACTTTTATTTGATGCCTCATTCATCCTAATAGCCCCAGTAATACGAAAGTTATGCCAATTTTAAACGCCCGGAAATCCTGCATGTAATTGCTTTGTATTTCTTTGTTTTTACAGGTAAATACAAAAGTTGTGATCTCAAATGTGACCTAAAGATTCTTATTCATTACAAAAAGAATCGCCAAAAAATGTAGACTTAAATATGCGAAAAACGCTTATCGGGCTGTCATTTTTGCATGACATTTCACATTCCTCTTAAAAAAAACATATTTCTCATCCATAGATTCCGCTGAAATTTCACCAAAAGCAAATTCACATGTTAACCAATCATCCTAGGCTAGTGAGTCAACAATAATCCACAATAATCAGACAGGCGCTGACCATAAGAGCACAGCTCCTCACATCAACCTACCTCACCCGAACCCGTCTCTCCAAGATTAAGAAAGCAACAAACACAAAAGGCGCATCTTCATCATCTCGAGATTGCCAAATATCTCGAGATTGCCAAATAGCCCGCTATTTGGGAAATAATCCTGAAGTAACAAATCGTGTCTTCACTATCTCGAAATTCGACCTCGAAACTTGAAACTCGCCCTTGAAAAATTAGCTCGAGATATTTTGCTCAGCGTTAGCGTGTATTGCGAATCTAGGTCTAGTGAAGACGCACGGGACAAATAGCTGGATATTTTGCCAAATGGTAGGATATTTTGCAAACTATCCCAAGATATCTTGGGATATTATCCCGACCAACTATCCAGCTAATTTGCTACTTCGGTCTCATGAAGACGCAAATTAGCTGGATAGTTTGCGATCGGGATAGTTCAAATAGCTGGATATTTGGCAATCTCGAGATAGTGAAGACGGGCCTAAAGTGTCCTGTCTGCAATCTTGAGGAGGATACCGTAGTTCACGTTGTGGCTGCCTCCTGCCTGCTCGACTACAGTACTGTCAACCTACTGGAAGACCGTACCGACAGAGCCAGTAGACTCCTGCATAATGCCCTTGACTCTGCACCAAATACACCATTGCTCAACAGCCAGGACCCCTCCCATCTGACTTGCGCTATTCTCTTGCCTTGTGATCCATCCCTTCCCCACACTCAATGATTCTATTTTAAAGATGACACTTCACGATCTTTACAAAATTCATGCCCATCGCCTGCACTCCATATCCACCAACTAAGGATTTTATAACATATTTACAGCTGCCTACTACTTCGATTGCGATAAACTCGCTGATCTCCGAAAAGCCGAGGGACAACAACAGAGAGAGAGAGTCTAGATTATACCTTTTTTCTCTTCCTGAATGCGAGATTAGGGTAGACTACATAATGGCAATAAACAAAGCTCTTGCAGCAAAACAAACTGCTGAAAACATAAATCATAGATCTAGAAAGTTTAGTATGAAATGAAAGATAACAATGCCATTCTTCTCATCCAATACAATTACAAATCATGAAACAAAAATCTAATCAGCCCATCAAAAGATCACATTTGCATAGCCTGGTCTAGACCGAAAGCTTCAGTCTCTATAATCGTCGGTTGTTCCACTGAGACTACGTCTGGCTCCACTAGACCTCCGGTTATAGAGACTGAACGATCGCCTATACCATCGTATGTTGAAGATATCACGGCTAGAGTTTAGCCGCTAGGCCCCTCCCACAAACATGACAAACTTGCCACGGCCGTATTGTTATGCCCCCAAAATCCCCCAAAATGTCATTTTACCTCGTCCATATCCAATTTTAAATTAGGCCTAGGCTATAATACATCGGTTCCACTTACTAACTTGATTGAAATAATCCGTTTAATGGTCCCTTTTAAGGAAATTATGGGTCAAAATCGACATCCATGTTAAAAATCTTGCAAGCCGTGTTAAACTCTCGCTGCCGTCAATCTCATCCCTTCTAGTCTACGCCGAAGGCAAAATGATTATGAAGGAAAAACTGTGATAACGCCATTACGAACGTGTAGATGGCGCACAGTTTTTCCTCCATAATCATTTTGCCTTCGATTTCAATCAAGTTAGTAAGTGGAACCGATGTAGTATAGCCTAGGCCTAATTTAAAATTGGATATGGACGAGGTAAAATGACATTTTGGGGGATTTTGGGGGCATAACAATACGGCCGTGGCAAGTTTGTCATGTTTGTGGGAGGGGCCTAGCGGCTAAAATCTAGCCGTGATATCTTCAACATACGATGGTATAGGCGATCGTTCAGTCTCTATAACCGGAGGTCTAGTGGAGCCAGACGTAGTCTCAGTGGAACAACCGACGATTATAGAGACTGAAGCTTTCGGTCTAAGCCTGGTCATGCTGGTAGGTAGACCGAAAGCTTCAGTCTCTATAATCGTCGGTTGTTCCACTGAGACTACGTCTGGCTCCACTAGACCTCCGGTTATAGAGACTGAACGACTGCCTATGCCAGCCTGTGTTGAACTTATTCCGCTAGATTTTAGCCGCTAGGCCCCTCCCACAAACTTGCCACGGCCGTATTGTTATGCCCCCAAAATCCCCAAAATGTCATTTTACCTCGTTCATTTCCAATTTTAAATTAGGCCTAGGCTATAATACATCGGTTCCACTTACTAACTTGATTGATATAATCCGTTTAATGGTCCCTTTTAAGGAAATTATCGGTCAAAATCGACATCCATGTTGAAAATCTTGCAAGCCGTGTTAAACTCTCGCTGCCGTCAATCTCATCCCTTCTAGTCTACGCCGAAGGCAAAATGATTATGAAGGAAAAACTGTGCGCCATCTACACGTTCGTAATGGCGTTATCACAGTTTTTCCTTCATAATCATTTTGCCTTCGGCGTAAACTAGAAGGGATGAGATTGACGGCAGCGAGAGTTTAACACGGCTTGCAAGATTTTCAACATGGATGTCGATTTTGACCGATAATTTCCTTAAAAGGGACCATTAAACGGATTATATCAATCAAGTTAGTAAGTGGAACCGATGTATTATAGCCTAGGCCTAATTTAAAATTGGAAATGAACGAGGTAAAATGACATTTTGGGGGATTTTGGGGGCATAACAATACGGCCGTGGCAAGTTTGTGGGAGGGGCCTAGCGGCTAAAATCTAGCGGAATAAGTTCAACACAGGCTGGCATAGGCAGTCGTTCAGTCTCTATAACCGGAGGTCTAGTGGAGCCAGACGTAGTCTCAGTGGAACAACCGACGATTATAGAGACTGAAGCTTTCGGTCTATCTAGCTGGTAGGCTATTCAAATGGTCTCCAATATAGTTGAATAGCTAACTTAGGCCCATGGCAGTGCAGTGCAGCTGCAGTGCATGCCGATTACCGGGTGCATATTAAAAATTCTAAACCAGTCAGTGAAAATTTAGTCTACCTCACTATTTTGAAGGACTGTAACCCTAACTTGCACCTGTAATCATCTGTATCTCGATCTCGCTCGTCGGGTGTCCGTCGAAGATGATAACCCCAGCCCCCAGGCCCAGCACAAGGGCAAGGGCCCCGCCACTCGATTGGTCTTGTCGTCTGCGACGCGTGTAGATATATACTGTGTACGTACCTGCCACTTGCTAGCTGAGCTGTCTAACTGTAAGAATAAGACTGCAGAACCTAGTATAAACCGTCGGCAATTCTCCTGATGATATTTTTAAGTGTTCGATCTTCATCGGTTTTCCATTAAGAGGACCATTTTTTGCTTAGGCTGGTATTTATAGCTGGTCAATAGATACGTGGCGAGATGTACGGGTACCATGTTGTTTGTTGTTATGATGCGCCGGTACAGCCGGAAACCGTACTCGTTTACGTTTAGATAGAGGGCGCGTGATTGAAATCTCTAGTGTGCGGATGAAGCGATGGGTATAAAATTGTTACGGAACCAAAACGTTCATACTAAGTTACTTTTATCCAAGTTTAAGATATTTGAATAAAATCATAAAATCGGGCAAGTAATAAGGAAGTTAAAGCTTTTTGAAATGACTAGTCACTAGAGGGCGATATTCAATTTGATGACATCATTTGTGGACAACTCTCTATGCCTTTTGTACATATCAAATTTCACAGTTCTTTCGTTTTCTTCGTATTTGTGTTCTTGATCCGACTTCATATGGTTATTATTCGCAAGACTGGCCATCAATAATACATACATATATAAATAGAAAACGAAGTAAATGAGACAACCGCATATGAGACAAAAATAAATTTATTGAATTCTCGCTCAAACGGCTTCATCAGGAATTGATGAATTTATTCAATTTATTCAATCAAATAACAGCATCATAGAAATGCAAAGCCGCAGCGTTAAAAAGCAAAGAGCTAAATGTTAAGCGCGAAGCGCAAAAGTGCAAAAAAAAAGTAGAGAGTGGAAGAGAGAGATAATAAGAGCCAGAGAGGATACAGGCGCGTAGCCAGGGGGCAGTGGGCGCGGTCGCCCCCCCCCCCAAAAAAAAAAACCGCCGCCCCAAAAAAGAGAAAGAGAGAGAAAGAAGAAAGGAAGAGGACGTAGGAAGAAAAAGGATTAATTAAGAGTCGAGAACAGTATACAACGAATCCTCTTCTTTCTCTAATAATTTAATGAAACGTCAAAGCTTCCGCGCTTCGCGCGGGAAGGGGGGGGGCTGAATTTAGACAAGGATTAAGAGTCGAGAACGGTACAACGAATCCTTTCTCTAATAATTTAATGATACGTCAAAGCTTCCGCGCTTCGCGCGAAAAGGGGTGGGGGACACTGAATTCAGACAAGGATTAGGGGTCGAGAATGGTACAACGAATCGTCTTCTTTCTTTAATAATTTAATGAAATGTCAGAGCTTCCGCGCTCTGCGCGGACGAAGGGGAACTTGATTCAAACAAGGATTAAGAGTCGAGAACGGTACAACTAATCGTCTTCTTTCTCTAATAGTTAAATGAAACGTCAAAGTTTCCGCGCTTTGCGCGGGAAGGGGGGGGGGGGACTAAATTCAGACAAGGATTAAATGTCGAGAGTGGTACAACGTATCGTCTTCCTTCTTTAATAAATTAATGAAACGTCAAAAGAAACAGAATTAAGACGAGTCGAGAATGGTACAACGAATCGTCTTCTTTCTCTAATAATTACATGAAACGTCAAAGCTTCCGTGCTTCGCGCGGGAAGGGGCCCGGGGAGAACTAAATTCAGACAAGGAATAAATGTCGAGAGCGGTACAACGTATCGTCTTCCTTCTTTAATAAATTAATGAAACGTCAAAAGAAACAGAAAGAGTCGAAAATGGTACAACGAATCGTCTTCTTTCTCTAATAATTAAATGAAACGTCAAAGCTTCCGTGCTTCGCTCGGGAGCCTGGGGGGGGGGGGGACTGAATTAAGGCAAGCATTAAGAGTCGAGAATGGAACAACGAATCGTCTTCTTTCTCTAATGATTTAATGAAACGTCAAAGCTTCCGCACTTCGGAGGCGGGGGGGGGGGGGGAGTCCCCCTCCCTGCACCCACCCCGCACCCACCCCTCACTAACCGCCCCAAAATGATACAATCCTGGCTACGCGCTTGAGAGGATAATAAATTAGGGACTTTTAGATTTGCGTGAACTGATACGCATGGCGTCCATTCAAGGCAGTGCATTAAAAGGACGTCGAACATAGCAATCCCCATTGTCTTCGTGCGAATCTAAAAGTCCCTATTAAACCAGGTAGCAAGCCCATGTGGGACCCACATGGGTCCCATATTTTCTGAAATGTTATCTTTATTGAGGGTAACTAGAAAAAGTTAATAACTTGGGAGAGAGGGGGTGCAACCTGCTACACGCTTACTACCTCTTGGTTGCTTTGATCCATTGCCGAAAATATTTTGGTACCTATCATCCCCCCAACCACTGATACAAATCGACACCCCTGGTGAGCCAGATATAGATTCTAAATCTTTTGTAGAAAGTAGCTTTTAGTAGAACTTATGGATCTACAAAATTATTTATATATAGCTGTAGCCATATCGAGGCATCCAGAAGCTAGCTCTTCAATTTCAGCCAATGAAGAGTTTCAAGATTTTCGTTTTTTCATGAATTATACCTCGTAATGCGAATACAGAGAAAGACATATTGTTTAGTGTACGAAATATAAATATACTATCGGTTTTTAATATCTGAATAATTATAGAACTCCAACAGTAAATCATATTAGGATTGCATAACCGTGTACGCTACATGACCCAAAGACCTTCAAGGTTTGGAATCTCAGTTTCCCACCTTCTCGTACCCGAGAAGTCGACAAGACGAGATTTGGAATCACGCTTTCTCACCTTCTCGTACCCGAGAAGTCGACAAGACGAGATTTGGTACATTGGCACATTATTGATTCACTTGAATTATGCAGATTTATGCACGACGCTCCGGGACGTCGGACTTGGTACGATTTCTGCAACGTTGAAGAAATCCGCAACGTTACACCGCGAATGCGCATAGAGGGCGCGTTTGATTGTTTACGTTGCAGATTTCTGCAACGATGCAATAGGGACTTTTAGATTTGCACGTCGACAGCTTTGACTGCAACGTGTGACGTCATTTTAAGGCACTGCGCATGCGTTACGTCGTCTCAGTCAGCGATCGAGAATGCGTCAACCTTGATTTTCCTAAATCAAGTACATACATACATATTGGTATTTATATAGCGCAATTACATGCTCAAGGTACTAGTATGCCGCGTGCGCATAAATATACAGTTCCTCAGGTAGACAAAGGAACATCCCTTCCCTGCTTTTATGTAAAAATGTGTAGAACAGGTGTCACATGCATATTCACCTGTTCTACACATTCTTACATATTAATAGCAGTGAAGGGATGTTCTTTTGTTGAGGGTAGAATGAGGAACTGTATATTTTGTCCTCTTTCTTTGTCCGTGATGTTCATAGTGTTACTTCCTGCATGCATGTATATCGTCGAGTGCAATCTAAAAGATTTCTAATTGTAGTCAACATGGGCAGTTAAGTACGTTGACACGCATGATCAGTCGGCGTTCGTCGTGTTCTCGTCCACTTAATCTAAAAGTCCCTAATGATGTCGCGTGCGCCGTAGCTCATGTACATAGGAGGGGGAGGGAGCTCAGGTTGGGGGGGGGGGGGGTGGTGCTTGTATAGACGGTAGGGGAGGGCGGGGCAGTGTCAAGGGGTGGAGAGATAAATGAAAATAAATAACCTAGATCTATGTGATATGGGATAGTGTAATAACAGTTTGATTAATGGTTTAAAGTTGAACTTGTTCAAAAATGTTTTTTCTTTAGTGCTAACATATTCTTCACTCCCCTCGATCCCTGCTCTCTTTCTAGTTCCTTTCTTTCAAAATACATGCAACTGTCTTCTTTAACCTATCAAGGTGGCGAAAGGGCTGAGGGATGCTATAAAGACATCAAATTTTATTTCTGGCGTTTATCAGCTAAGCCCTGATAATTTTGATGTTAAACATAAATTTTCCATTTTGTATGTTGTTTGTGTTATGTTTATCTCTTTTGAACATGTTATATTTATGCAATGTATGCCGACTGGCTGTCATCTGTTTTTTTTGGGGGGCGGGGTATTTTTTAGATTATGATGTTATTATTAATAATAATTATTGTCTTTTATAGAAATGTTTTTAAAAAAGAAGTATGGAAGTAGCAATCATGTTTTGATATGTTTTATTGATTTAACAAAAAGTATGATATTTATGTTTTACTCTACTTACTATATTATTAATTTAGTTTATTCAAACATTGCTATTTGTATTTGAAGATGCCCCTAATATGTACATCATGAAAAACATAAACATTCAGAATTAAAGAATGATGGAAGTTGAATAAGTTAACAATTTTTGTTTCATTCATTCTGTGTGTTGCTTTGAAAATGTAAATTGTTCAATTTTCGGGTCATGAGCTTGTTGATCATGTAAATTTGTCATATAATGATTCATGAATAAACTTGACTTCCAATTGAATTTGTTTACGTGTTTTCTTTTTAGTCAATTGATCAATTCATCCTTTTTTACCAGTTCAACACACATCTTCTTTACCCTCAACCCCTTTCACTCTCTTTATATCTCATGCTCAACGAAATATGCCACTTTTTAAAAATAAGAACAAAGTGCTATTTCACAATCACAATCTGTTAAAAAATGAAGAAATTGGTGAAGAGACGTATATGTAAATAATAAAAACATTTAAAAAAATAATAATATGGTTTCATTTTTTTAATTTTGATATTCAATGTCATCTTGACTACACACGGATCATGACTATAACACATTAATGTCCCTTCCTCCGTTTCTCCTGATCTGACGTACTATCTCGTCTGCCATCCTCCTTTCCCCCACCATGACATAACACACGTTCAACTTTGCCCCCCCCCCCCCTCCTCTCACGGGCCCGTCATGGGTCATCGTCACCAGAAACCAGCAGTATCCCTCCGAACCGTTGTCGATAGCAAACCGGACAACTGCCGACAGCCCCTTCGGCACCCTCCCGACTGGATGGCAACAAATCTCTCGTACTGTCTGCTGGCGACCCGACGTAGACGCTGCCCTTAATTGTCTCTTTGTCGTGCAACTCTGGAGCAACGACGTCTAGCTTTGGAGCCACCACCAAGGTTGCCGCTTTGTCGTACTTATTCCCCATCTCAGGCCTGCATTGCATCAAGAATTGTGATCCTTGGAAGGGCCTCTTCTTGAAGTGGTGATATCTGGAAAAACAAATATAAATAAAGGAGAAAAGAACTTGGTAAGTTCAACCTTGGAATATAAAAATGAAAGGGAAAAAAATACGTTGTCATTGTGTGTGATAAGCGAA